TACGGTCGTTTTATCTAGATAATTGACCCTTTGTTGACCTGGGTCAGCCATAGCAATACTTTTCCCATTGTTTTACATGTAGACCACGTTGACGTCAGTTCCACATATCACCGGACATGGACACCGAAGTTATGCCCCCCTGAGAGTACAACTTGTTTGGGTAATAAAGTTTGTAGTCCACGTAAAAACTTTTTATACCATCCTTAAATTAGGGTTTTGAAAATTAATAAGACGTGTTTTCTTTTGAAAGTCTTCTGTATTTTTTGTCACTCACGACCGCCTAAAATTTGACAAATTGAATTTGACCATACACAGTAAAATATGCAGAGTTTTGGACTCATATATCCACTGTATTCGTAGTGCGAATCGTAGTCTTTCAATTTACCAAATATCACACTGTAAAGCTAGAAACAAAGTCAGGAAAAATGTCCACGTCACACGGCTTTATCTAACGTGGGTGGCATATGCGATGGATCCTCTCTGGCCAATGGATACTGCCTGGCCAATTTGATACTGTTTTTGCCACCCTAGTACATGTATCTGCTTGGAGATTATTGTCGTCATACTTACCTACCCATCAGGCATCGTAAACCTTATAAACGTCACAATACGTCACTACGGTCTCTTTTCGACCCTTATTTCTGACGTCATAATCCTATTTACAGCTGTGAAAGTTTGAGATGAGTTTGAGTGGTCACGCACGTTCTGCGTCCCTCAACCTTGTCAGGTATTTCACAGCCGCGAAAGTCGACGTCATTTGATGACACGATGTTCAGTTTTCTCTTGATCAACGCTGTCTTCCTGTTACAGGTTGTAGCCAGACTCTTCGGCGTTCTGAAGAGAGGTGAGTGCAAGTTTATTTCCAAACATCTCAGACCAGTTTTGGTCACCTAAGACAAGTTCTGTAGCCATGTTCTAAGAACGGCCCATAGTATACTAGCCTCTATCGGGCTTCAGAAGCGGCTGGAAAGAGTAGAAAATCGACCAAATACATGTAGACAGATGACATGCTGGGGGGTCGGTCTGTTAAGTAGTACGTACTACATCATGTTGCCGCATCATTTACTAGTAGTGGACCTAGCCTCTAAGGAAGAAGAAGGAAGAAGGAAGAAGAAGAAAAAAAAAAAAGCTGACGTTGACGATTACTAATAAAAACCATGGACCACGTTCGCCTCAGTCTTAAAACGTCACAAAGTCAAGATCGAATGTCAAATGTCCTTGGATACTTTCTTGTGACGTCATAATTGTCCTTGCAGTAGTCGAAAATTCCGACATCAGGTCAGACGTGTTTGTTTGATCGCTCTGATTCGGCTCATATTTCCTACTGTAAAATTGACATTAGTCCAGACGACATGTTTGGGATTTTGCTGCAGTTCAGTCTGTTGCTTTTCGGACTGGTAGTCAGGATTGTAGGCTCCGTCAGAAAAGGTGAGAGCGGTGTTCCTTCACCAAAAAACAGTTACTTAAGCAACTGTAACGTTATGTGATTTTGGAAACGGTCAGACGTTCCTGGTAGCATCCACTACCTTTCGTCAGTGAGAGACTTGCAGACACTAGAGACACTAGAGACTTGCAGAAGAGTATCCAGTTGCTTGAATAACTTTTTTTGGCGTATCTTATTACCTGGATGTCCTTCACCGACGGTGTTCCTTCACTTCCGAAATCAGGCTAGTTTCTGTCCGCCGCTGTTCGATAGTAGGTGAAGTTGAGTCAGTGATGTTCTAAGAACACCTGTTGTGCCAAATCCTTGAGTTGTCACATACGTGAGATGTCAGGTGTTTAGGGCTAGGGCTAGGGTTGGTACTAGGGTTAGGGTTAGAGTTGGGATCATTGTTCAGGGCTAGGGTTAGACTTACGATTGGGGTTAGGTTACAAATAAGTTAGGTTTAGTCTCCCACATCACGACTAAACCCTTCCCACCTCTTGTCTCAGGTATATCGGAACCCCCCAAGTAGTGTCGGAGTCATGTATTTGGCAGGATCATGTATATGGCTTTACATAGCCTCTAACCGATTCTGATATGTTCTCTCTACAGCCGTGAACGTGCGATTCGTTCGCAGTGAGAAGTGTGCAAGTGCAGTGCCGCCCCCACCCGTGGTGAGGGAGCCTAGCGCCCCTGCACAAGAGTCTGGCACATCGGTGAGGAAGAAAACAAGGCCCAACGATGAGTCGTGCGCAACTTCAGTAAAGAAGAAATCCCGGCGAAGTGACCTGAACGGGCCTACCGACAATGCGAACCCGCCGAAGATCAAGGCTGCAGAGCCCGACAAACCCAGCCCCTCTGTACGGGCTCCCGGTACAGCCAAGGGCAATTCGAAGGCGACATTCGGCGGAATGAAGGCCGGGTTCTTGCTACAGTCTCAAAAGAAGAAGCCTCAGCCCAAGAAAGAGTCAGCAGCAAAGGCAGACAGCTCCAAGGCCGTGAAGGCTCCGCCTGACCAAAGTCTGAAGAACACTGCATCTGCGGGTCAGAAGGATCCCGCCGCCGAGGCCGGTCACCTGAAAGTGAGCCCCTCTCAGAAGAAGGAAGATCCCCAAACCCCCTTGGCCAGTGCCGGAGAGAAGTCGGGCCAGAAGCAGGCTCAGTCTCCGCGCCCCACTACTGAGTCCGGACAGACTCCCCACCAGTCATCCTCGTCAGAGGTGAAGCATGCTTTTTCTATTACTCATGAAACTCGATAATCCTCGTACTATAAACTACATCTGTTACATCTACAATTGAACCGAGAAGAAGCAGAACCTGTACATATGTAGTTTTACTATAGATATATTTAGTCTACCATCGCTATTTACCATGACCTGTACTTAGTTCGCAATGAGCAAAAATGTACAATAAAGGTCTTTCATTCATTCTATTAGCTATGTTTGTGCAATGCGGCTTCGCTACGACTCGCGCATATGTAGGGGGTGATGATAGTCCTTCTCTACAAAGTCAAACGTATATTGCTTGCATTAACATAACAAAGTGATAGCCTGTTGTGTAATATAACATCTGTGTCCATAATATCACCAGGGTCCATAATATCACCACCTTGAGAAATAGTGTGCTTTAAGATATTTTTTACTGCAACATACCCAAGGTACGAGGGGTGATCAAAAGTTCTCGGCCTCTCCTAGAAAACGTCATGGCAGTAAAATTTTCTTACGCTTTTTTTTATATAGTCCTCTCTAACTGCAATGCACTTGGTCCAGTGATGTTCCAGCTTTAATTTCCCCTTGTGGAAGAAGGTTGCATCTGGACCCCCCAGATTGGCCCATACCGCATAGATGACGTCATCATTGCCATCAAAATGTTGACCACGTAAGTGGAACTTGAGTTTAGGAAACAGGTAGAAGGCCCACGGTGCTAGGTCAGGTGAATTGGAAGGGTGGGGTTAGACTGCAAACCCAAATTCGTTTGCTGCAGCCACTGACCCCTGTGCTGTGAGGACAGGTGCATTTTCATCACGACAGCTCGGTACTTTCCTCTCCTTTTCTCTTTGATCGTTGTCCTCAACTGTCGTAATTCTGTTGAATAGTACTCCCCATTGATGCTTTAACCCCTTCACATGTAGTCAATCATGATTACTTCCTTACTGCCCCAGAGAACAGAGGCAAAACCCTGTCAACGGATGAAACTCACTAAAACTTCTTTGGGGGCCGGGAAAAATTCTTCATCCATTGTTAGCTCTGCTGTTTTTATTCGGGGTGAAAATGGTGAACCCAGCTAATCTTGGGTTACAAATGTTTTGAGAAAATTGCATGGATTGGACTGAATTCGTTCCTTGAATTGTCCAGCCTGTTTAACTTCTGATGTTCAGAAAACATTCGAGGCACCCACCATGCAGACAGTTTTTTCATCCCCAGGATGTTCGACAAAACATTGTGAACTGAGTCATAACACAGGCCAAAGAACCTGCTACATGTCGGACAGTCTCACATCTGTCATTTACTACCATGTGATGGATGGCCTCAACTGGATTGTCCGTGGTGCTGATTTGTGACATCCTGACACATGTTCATCTTTTGTGCTCTCCTTGCCGCGCTTGTAGCTAGTAACCCAATTCTTTATACTTGAATAAGAAGGGGAGTCATCACCAAGTGTCTTGACCATGTCTTCATGGATGTCCTTAGGAGACATAGTTTTTTATCGATATACTTGATCACAGCACACGCTTCTGTTGCGGCCATTTTGTAATTTTACCCTCACCTGCACCACTTTCACGGGGCGTCACGTGCTAATTAATGAATATAGAAAATTGCATTTTTGTGTGCAGTGATGTAAGATATCATAGTATACAGTTATACCAAAGAATAGGAGTTTGACCTTTATTTTCTAGGTGAGGCCGAGAACTTTTGGATCACCCCTCGTATGTACATTTGATGTGTGAAGGAGTGCATACCAAAAGTATGTTGCAGTAAAAATATCTTTAAGCACACTTTTTCTCAAGGTGGCGATATTATGTACCCTGGTGATATTATGGACACAGATGTTATACCAGTTTGCTCAGAAGTTTTATTACCATCATCTCTCCCCTGCAGACCATCCCCATCATCCCTGTCCTTGCGCACGTTCGTCCCATCCTGTTGCCGGTTCCAGGCACCAACCAAGCGTCGCTCATTTGGGACGGGAGCAGAAAGGCCCGTAACTTCCTGGCAATGATCATCGCAGCAAGAAGGGCTGCGGGACTCTAAATTCCCAGGATATTTGATTTTTGGGGTTTGGAAAATGGTTTTTGCAGCGCAGTTTGATTTTTTTTAGTTCCTCATGTAAAGCAGTAATAGTGACCCACAACTGGAAACACTTCTTGCAGTTCTAGAACGTCAGAACGTTTCGATTTGGAGGTTTCTGCAAGGGTTTGCAAAATTTTTTTTTTACAGCGCAGTTTTTTTTTAGTTCCTCATGTAAAAGATATGATGGTGACCCACAACTGGAAACATTTCTTACAAATATGCAGTTTTCTACATTCCGATTACGCTATGGATGTAGTCCGGTTATCTTCGGTATTCAATAAGACAAAAACCAAAAAAGAAAAAAAAAGTATTTTTGTCGTCATTTTCATAAACAGAACAGTATTACAAGTAGTTTCAACTTAGATGAGTCTTTCTCTACAAAGTCAAACAAACAGTTTATTTCATATGTTGCTTGCTGGTCCACTAACAAAACTAACACAACAAAGTGCTTGCTGGTCCACTAACAAAACTAACACAACAAAGTGCTTGCTGGTCCACTAACAAAACTAACAAAACAAAGTGATAGCCTGTTGCATAATCAGTTCATGACTTTTTTTAGCATCATCTCTTGCACATATATAGACTGTAGTATGCTACATTGTTTTTTTATGGTGACACGTAACTACGTCATTGCACATGTATACTACCTAGTATCCGTTCACTCTTGATTTAGATGTACAGAATTGTCACACCAAGGTTTTAATAATAAAGTTTCAATTTTCCCTGATTTGCCAGTCTGTTTTCGATGTCTTTTCTAGTCTAACACTTAAAATCCTGCGTACGACAAGTTACAAAATTTTATCAAGGTATCTTCAGAACCATCTGGCAGACAACTTGAGAGGCGCGACGCTCCCTGGAGCATGCGGTGCTGAGTGAGTGAATGAGTCTTGTTGTGCTCACACCTTGCAGTAGGAGTCATAGTCGACAGGAGGCGCGCTTGTATTGCTTGGATCCAGGTCTTTCATACCTGTGACATCCTGCTGCAGCTCAACCGATAGGACAATTGCTGTTGAATGTGTAAGACACAGGAGGAGCGAGTAGAAACAGATAACCACGAACCCACGACCCTCCAGGCCACCGTCCGACGCTCTAATGACTCGGCTAAAAGGTATAGACCCATCGTCTGGGACAGTTGGTCGCGCCTATGAACCCCCCACTGTTACAAATGTGTTGTTGGTTGCTCAGTTATCCCTTTATTCCCACTGACTCCCATAAGGCAGTAGACGTGCATATAAGGCCATGTTGATTTGATTATATGGATGACATCCGCGCGCGCATGAATTTTCGGCCGTTTCAAAAAAAAAGTTTTCAACCATACTGTAAATCGTACAAAACAGTTGCAAAATGAGCAAAAATATACCGTAAGTTACAAAAAAACCATACCAATGTCGTAGAATGCCAAAATCAAACGAAAAAAGACGAAATTGTAAAGAAATGAACTTGAAGACTAGATTATTCGCCAAACCATATTCTGTGCCATTTGCTCAACCCTCATGACCACGTAGATTTCATAATGAAAACAACTTTTTTTTTTTGCAAAACTTTTTTTTATTCGCACGCGCGCATCAATTTTGGGGTTCCCGGAGGATGTCATCCATATAATCAAATCAACATGGCCTTACGAGTTTGTCTTCCCGTTGCAAACAGGCCGCAAACGCGCCGAGCAAGCCCCTTTTTGAATTGTGACCTAAGCTTTATGAAAGTAACCGGAGGTAGCAAGTTGGGATTCATATGAAAATCGCCAGAGGCAGTTTTAACCCACAATAACAGTTGACATGACCCCACTAAGTGTTTGAGTGTCATGATAGAACGTTTCTAATTGTGGCATATTCTAGAACATTTGTGTTTCTTTTCAAACGTCATTACAGAACATAAATATTCCACGCCTTTTATGTCTACGCTGTTGTAATGAACTGAATAATTCTAGTTAGGAAATCTTTCAGGCCGTTAATTATGTTTGGGTGAATGTCAGTGACGGTGGCCGACGATGTTGGCAGACTTGTGTTCCGGACCGTGTTGGTGGCCGCTACCTTTCAGTGTACAAATGTATGTGTATATATATATATATATATATAGCCACAGCAAGTAATCTTTATGGATGACATCAGCGCACGCATTAATTTTCGCCTGATTTCGAAAAAAAAAATTGTTGCCCCGACTGTGGTCACCATGCCAAAAATGGGCACTGAGATGTCTGTTGCAATGCCATAATATGGATGGCAGATGAATATGAAGAGAGGAGACAAGACAAGACTCTGATTTAATGTTTAGTTTTCAAGTTTACTTTGATGCAGTGATGTACTAATTTTTCATTACTTTTATATGTGATGTTCCTACCGAATCAAAACCATTTGTACAATGATTAAAAACTTCTATTCAGTAAGAAATGGATGTTGTAGTGGTTGGCAGTAAACTTAGTACATTGTATAGGTATCATTTCTTGTTTCACAAGGTTCATGATGTCAAAATTTGAAAATGTAGGAATCTTAAGCTTGTTTTTTGGGGCCCGCCTTGTTTTTTTTTCGCCCTCTCGCATTAGTTTTGAGTCTGTCATCCATAAAATTTAATTGCTGTGGCCTAATCTCCAAGGTTCTCTGGGCGGCAAAAACAATAATTTGGAGCAAGACATTTTCTCACGAAGTATTTTGTTGCTGTCATCAATTTTGTGACAGCATTTCGAGCTTCCAGAAGCCACAGAACAGGTGCTTCATTTCGTAAATTTCAACGACTGTCCCTTCCTTATCATCATATCGATCATTCATGCAGTCGATGATTTTATAAAGCATTCACAAGATACCAGCCTTTCTGTGACATACTATATACATACATACAACGTTACTTGTTTCATGTATGTTTCCTTCGTCTGAAACAGAGCAAGAAAAGAGAATCGTCCCGCGGCCCCATGGCCTGATCTTGGGGGTAATAAAGTCACCGAACCAAATACAATACAGACAAGTAAAGCTTGGAAAACGAGACGACCTCCTGAGCGCATTTTCTTTTACATTACCTCCCAGACTACAATTGTCTTTTCCCCGCTACTCTGTGACTGCAGGTAAGACAACACCTTTTGGGACATTCGATCACCATGCCTGGCTCGATTTACTCTCTAGGCTCTTGTAGGGTTTACTAAAAAACCGTACCCTACATGGTTTACTTCCTTCTCAAATTAAATCGTCTTTAGGTCTTCTATTGGAATGTAGATAGATAAAGTAAGAATTAAAACGAAATGCGCGAAGGTAAAATGTTGACCAGCCGGGCTGGTAGTTGAAGTAATCGGTACCAGTGTTACTAGAAACCCTCCTTACAGAGCCTCTGTTACTTGGGCCATGGTAGGGTGACACTATACCGGCGCGGGAGTGCTCAGTCGCTCAGTTCCGTCCAAGTTTCTTCGGTTTTCTCATGATTTCTCCTCAAGGCACAAGACACAGTGTGAGTATCTTAAACGTATAGGACTACTTGACGCACCCAAGTACTAGTTTAGGGTTTGGGGGGTTCTTGGTAACGAGTCGCCGACTCTTTGCAGACGATATTTTCCACATGTACGAGAGGGCGATTTGTGTCTTTCGGTCGAAACTTCCTGACAAGATAAGTCATGTATTCTGTGCTTATTTTAACGGCGTTTGTAGACTTTGAGGTGTAAAACAGTCTGTTGTTCTGTTTACTGAGGCTTAAATAGACTTGATGATGTGGAGTTGAGCTTGGTTGTACGATATTTTGTTGATGTTTGGATTATGTTGTTGTGTTTTTGTTGTGTCTTTATTTTCATCTCTAAGTGATTTTATTTTCATCTCAAAGTCAAACATCGATCGTCCAATACTTTGAGTAGTACAAACAAGAGAGATTTTCTTTTAGGTCTTGCTATCTATCGTTTTTTTGTTGTTGTGTGTATCTTGCATTGTCGTCTTCTATTTTGTTTATTCCGGAATCTTTTGATTAAGTTTCTTGACTCAACTACGGAACTTTATTTGAGGGGAGGGGGGCGACTTACAAATTTGTAAATATTTGTGAAAATCTTTCTTGGGAATAACGATTGCATCTGCATCTAAAATTAAGCGAATAACACTATGCAGTGCTGACAGACAGATTTGACAAATGCACAAGTATGTACAGGTCTTCAGTATTCAACTCAACTCAAATTTTTCACGTAAATTATTGAAATTAACTGTTAGTCTTGAACAGAAATATTAATATAGACAACCACCCATCCAAATGTCTACATATGTTATATGTGCACACGCGGCGCACACATGCACGTTTGTGTGTGTGTGTGTGTGTGTGTGTGTGTGTGTGTGTGTGTGTGTGTGTGTGTGTGTGTGTGTGTGTTAAAAGATTATAATTTGCCCTTGATCCATCTCAAGATATCTGCTTGGAGATTGCTAGAATACTAGCTGTCAAAGCCAAATTGTAAAGATCTCAACAATCATTGCAATTTGTCGAAGGTTTTTAAATTGCTACTTAATTTACTCACTGACTCTGGTTGTGTAATCAGACTCATTTACTTGCAAGAGAAATAGACAAGGTGGTTAAGCTATAGGTGGTAACACATTTAGCCTATGTTTGCATATTTGTACACCTTCAGATGCCGGATGCATACATGACTATGTTTACCTTTGTAAACAGCCTACAGACTAGACAGAGTGATCTGAGTGCCTGTGTAAACGGTGTCTTTTGGGCGTAGAACATTGTTGCCATGGCAACTAAGTAGTGTTCGAATCCCATTTTGACCCAAGAGATGACTGTGGTAGTACATGAAGACACTGGCTAAAACCAAAAAGTCAAACAGGGATTGAGAAAACTTTAACGCACACAGGACAACCTGAGTTAAAATCTTGGTAGAGAACTGCAACCTTAGGTCCATCTAGCAGCATTTTATTGTCAACATTTGAAAATTACATATTATTTCACCTGACGTACATGTTACCTCATGTATGTAACGTTATATATTCAAAATAGCTGGAAAAAAAAGCTTTTTACAGCAGTTGGATACACATACTGTCTTACTTCTAGCAGTATAACAGAAGTTTGGTATTGTATTACCAATTTATTGAGAGTCTACGTAATACCCTATGGCTTGCAGATTGAATTCATCGTCACGTGGCAGTTGTAACAATACTGCCTTGACTACAGGAAGCATACAGTTTCCATATTCACATGGTGTAATTTTTCCAGGGCTATCAGGGTCATTGGTTTTTCTTAATGCACACCTTTTTTTCAGTCTCTACATTCCCTCTTTTCAAAATACAAAAGACGAAGAATTCTTTTACCACAAAGACATGAAGACTAGTCTTACCCAACGCCTATTAGCTTTGATCTGCTATGAAGTTAACTTTTGATTGAAAGTTAGAAAACTGTTAGGGATATGAAAAAGATGTTTCGTGTGAATAAGTAAGTGTACTGACATTGCCCGTTCAGGTAATATTTTACCCATTTGTGTCAGTTCCCAAGTTTAAATTCAAATTTTCATCTGTTTACCAAAGGAATGGTCCATTTGAACTTCCTTGGTCACATAGAAACTGAGCCTACAGGCCAACTTTGACGTGCCACAGTCTACTTAACCCAAACTTGTGGACGCAGACCTGCACGTATGAACTAACGTTCCCTGACTACTATCTACAGTGTGTGTGCTTGTTTGTATCAGTGTTTGTTCGGTGGCGTGATAAATTTTACAAACTGTAACAGTATCAGGGACAAACAGGTATACACAGACTTCATGATAGGGTGGGAACACACGAGTAGACTAACAAATGTCGTCTGAGATAATGCTTGTTCTTTCTGTCAAGGGACTTACATTTCTGTACTTAATGCACAAGTCTGGTTTTCTTAAAGTGATATTATGTAAGATTTTTGTGCCAAAACTGGATCATAATTGACATTTTCTCATCTAGATTGTCATTTTTGGTTGTACTGGGCAAATCCTGTAGATATGAAAAAGTATAAACATTACACTATTAGTTAACAGTTGTCAAATCGTGACCTGGCATATGCCGTATTGAAAAGAATAGACAAAATTGCATAGAAAAAATTGCACGCACTTGTCAGATCAGGGCTTGAAATGCTTTTTATCTGCATACCAGCACTGGTGAAGGTAACATTGAAAATTTTACATGCATCACTTAGAATTTAGAGAGTATGGATCATACTAAAAAAACTATCGCCATTATTTTCTTTACTTTTCATATGTGGTGAAAGTCTAGACAGCAAATAAAAATCCGCATACTCCAAAAAATATACTGTACACATTAACCCTGGCCAATGCGAG